CTAATCACTGTGTTTTTGTTCCATGAAAAATAATCTCTTCCGGCCTTAAAATGGCTTAAATGTAACTCTTCACAGTTGCCTCCTTTGAAATGATGAAGTACCCCTCTCTTTCTGTACTCACTCCTCCACTACTCGAGCACACCAGTATGCCTACAACTCTGCTTAAACGTGTCTGTGAAGATTCTCAGTCATCCAGGTCATGGTTGTTCTCGTAGTTTAATCGTAGTAACTGGACTTGCTTGAGTTTCTTGAAGACGTTTCACCTCTCATCCAAGAGGCTTCACCGGTTTTGACTGACTAGTTGGGAATTCCAGATACTTATATCCTTAAGGAGCCATTAACACTTGAGTTTGCTCCTTACCCTCATTATGAGTCGTTAGTACTCCCCCTGCCACAGTGGGGTTCGTTAAGACCTTTTGTGGCGAGGTGTGAATGTGGTTTCATCTTTTCCCGAAGTGTGTAGCAACATGTCTGTGAAGATTCTCAGACATCCAGGTCATGGTAATTGTTAATGGCTCCTTAAGGATAGAAGTATCTGGAACTCCCAACTAGTCAGTCAAAACTGATGAAGCCCCTTTGATGAAAGGTGAAACATCTTCAAGAAACTTAAGTAAGTCCAGTTGTTACGATTAAACTATAAGAACTCTGCTCAGACACTGTGAAGCTACTCTGAGCTACACAATGCACAAGTTGTTACGTTTCACTTCAGTCATTCACAACAAAACCAGACACCGATTCTGAGGAAAAACAATGACTACAATCTAAATGAATTTCTTTGTTTTGGTGTATATGAAGATCCAGAAGTTTTCATTTTTGTATTTGTCATTGGTACTCTACTTTCAAGGTGGAATTGCTCAGCCATGGCACTGACTGGAATTAGTTGTCTGGGTGTTATTATGTGATGATTGTGACTGTCTAGCTTTGTGATATTTTGCACGTGTGGATGTTTTTCAGTTAATCTAAATTATTTAACCCTGTTTGAAGTATTATATTTGCAAATGAAACATGCTGAGGACGACATCAGTTATATTAAAAGTGAGTTTGGTTTCTTGTTTGGCTACTGTTCTGGTTTGGGTTTTGGTTTCAGGGCTAGTTTTCTGTTTCTTTCCTGCAGACTCTTTGGCGCTACGTTGACTTGAGACACTTCGACACACAAATACAGGAAAGATGCAGTTCTGGCACACACCAGCCTGTTGTTGCAGAAGGACTTGCAATACTACAAATAACAGTTACAACAGCCACAAAATACACCACATGAACATGTCAAGAAGGTCATTTTTTATCAGTTCTTTAAGTCACGTGTCTGCTGCTACACACAAATACAAACAACAGCGGACGAGCTCTCACAAGAAAGACTGCTAGAAAGGTCTTCTTACTCACAATCAAGTGTGGAGTTTTTGTGACCTTATTGTTCTGTGCATTCATCACATACAACTAAAGCTGCACACAGTTTTGGCCTTGCATTTCCACAAAGTGCACAGTTCTGCTTTGAAAAGTAAACAGTTTGCTGCCATCTAGTGTCCACAATCAGTCAGCAACACTGGAGCTGACGGCAGTGCACAGACAATACTGAGTGCTCTTCAGTGAAAGTGCAAAAGAGACAATTGATCGACAAAACCTGCTGCGCAAATCTGCTCTCAGATACTTTATATAACTCAATTCACTTTCCACAGCATCGACATCACAACCTCTCAGCAACAGTAACAGGAGGAAAAGGCAAAGCACTTCTCATTTCTCAGATTTCCGCCCATTTTCTGTCTTATATAACGTCAGTACTGCCACGGTGTCTGGCCTCTCCTGTTTCCCTCCGGTTAAACACACCACGCACTACCTTCATATTCCCCAAGAAGGTGTGGGGAGATGTGGAGCCTGGTGACTGAAAACGCCTTGTCATTGCATTGCCTGCATTCCTGTGCCTGGCTCCTATTGGCCTGAAGACTATTTATACAGCCGTGGCAGAGGCCCCTCATAGCCTACTGGGGAGATACACTTCCTGGGCGGCTGGCTTTATGTCTCTTGACTGCACAAACACCTGAAAACCTGCTCAACATTGCCTGAAACAGAGCCTCTTTGATTCAATGGGGTGCTTTGGAAGGTCTACCATTGCAATCAAAGCTGGTTAAACCTGCATTATTTAAATGCTAAATACAATTGCAAGGTGTCAAAAGATACCAAATGTGCAAAGATTTCAAGGGGATGCAGGATATAGGTACCCTTCA